CCTTCTCCTTCTTCTCTCTTTCTCCTCCACCTCTTCTTCCTCCTTTTCTCCTCCTTCCTCATCTCTTCTTCCTTCCTCTTCCTCTTCCCACCCGCCAGCCATGCGCGTGGCCGGCTACCTGAACCTGGCGGCGGACTTTGCCCACAACTTCACGGACGGCCTGGCGCTGGGGGCCTCCTTCCTGGCGGGGACCACGGTGGGCGCCGTCACCACGCTGACCGTCCTGCTCCACGAAGTGCCCCACGAGGTGGGAGACTTCGCCATCCTCGTCCAGTCCGGATGCAGCAAGAGGAAGGTAAGGCCTTGCGCACGCGCCCACCGGCCCCCTCTTCAAAGGTTTATTGCCCTCAAAGCACGGCTCGGTGCAGTGAGAAAAGAGGTTGAGAGGGGCTTGAGGGAGCCCTTGGGTTGGCAGCAGAGAAGGGAGTTCGAGTTTATTCTCCTCAAAGGGAAAAGGGTGGAGGGGAGAGAAATGGGGCTCTCTAGCTACCTCTGCATTCAGGGCATCTACAGAGCGCTTTTGCAACTCTTGCGCACCATAGCATGGAGCCGTGGCGGTTAAAAGCAGCGTCAAAGTGTGCTCCCGTATATACTCGACTATAAGTTGAGAATATTGCCCGGCAGAGGGGCGGGATATAAATAAAATTTATTATTATTATTATTATGAAATTTATGCCCCCAAAGTGACCCAAAAAACATGGGTGAGCATCTTGCGCAGCCTGGGTGTCTCCCTGAGGAAGGACTTGCTTGGGAGGGAAGCGTTTGCTTCCCCTCCTTCCTCATCCCGGCTGTCCTCCGGATGCCCTCCAAAGGGACAGCCGCTGCAGAGGGGGAGGAAGGGATACACTCGACTTATCCTCGGGTCGTATCAAAGTCCCTAATTTTGGCACCAAAGCCTGTCCTCAACTTACAGACGCCATCGGCTGATACACTCATCCCTCCACATTCCCTGGGGTCAGGGGCACAGGACCCCCGTGAATTTGGAAAAACTTCCAATAACAAAAGCACTATGTTTTTACCTGAGAGGACACCTCTCTAGGAATCTCTAAGTCCTCCAGGGCAACTCTGTGGTCAACATCTGCCAGACATTGACCATAGAGTTGCGCTGGAGGAGCTACAAATGCCTAGAGGAGTGTTCTCTTTAGGGATCTCTAGTGCCTTCATTGCAACTCCATTGTCAACAACTGCCATAGAATTGTACTGGAGGAGGAACAGTATGTTCTTTCTAGGAATCTCTAGGTCCTCCAGTGCAACTCTATGG